ACATGACATATGGGTAGTTGTCAAAATTATGGTCCCTTTTTGGGTCCCCTAAATTAGGCCCCGTATTAGGCCCCGTATTATAATAGGGACCCAAAAAGGGACCATAATTTTGACAATCCCCCATATAGTTACTTCCTAGAACAGTACCTACATCTGCCCTCTTTTAAAGAGTTCTTTTTGAATCCCGAAAGGACTAACTGCGTGCCTTGGCCAAAAGCTCGCTGGCCTGCGCCCGCGGATCGAGTCCTGGGCCGAGGCCAGTTTGGGCTTTCATGTTTAGGGTGTTTGGGGTTGAAGGCTTAGGGTTTAGGATTTCAGGTTTAGGGTTGATGGTCTAAGATTTAGGGTGGAGGCTTAAGGTTTGGATTTAAGGGGGTTAAGGTTTAGGAGTGAGAGTTCAGGTTTAGGTTTGAGGGTTAACAGTTTGGGGTTCAAGTTTGATGAGGATATGGGAAGATTGTGAAAAGTGGGGTGTCCTGTGGGTTCAGGATTCAGGGCTACAGATATTTTGGGATTTTAGGGGCGTGTTTCTTTCGAGATATGTTTTGTTTCAAACGGCCCTTGGGCAAGGATCCCCGTATTCGCTGCTAAACTGGTGGAAACGCAAGTTTGACACAAACCTTTTTGCAGCCAGTGTTCAGCATGCCATGTCCACAATTTCAATCCCCAGGCGGGGAAAAGGATTTCGAAGCCTTCCCTTTGTCCCAGGAACAGGGTGCCGCATTCCTGGAAGAGCTGATTTTGTCGCTCGGCCTTGTAATAGAAGTGTAGGGGTCAAGGCGGGAAAAGCAAATGGTTGGCCGCCATGGGGGGAGTCTGACTTTGGCATCAAAGTCAAAACGGATCTCAAAGCCAGTAGGGAAATACGCAAGGAAACTTGAGGGTCTTTAAGCTCCTTGCAGTGTTTCACCCTAAACCTTAAACCCCTAAAACCCTAAACCCCTAAACTAAACCCTTAAACTCCTAAACCCCTAATCTGAAGCAACTGCTAAGCAGCTTCCAGGCATGGGCCTGAGCTGTGTGTCAGCCTTGGCCTGTCGCAGGCACCAGCTGGACTTCGAAAGCATTACTTGGGGACTTCCCTAAAATGATGCAGGTAAGATTTTGGGGTAATATACGGTAGATGGGGACTTGGAAGGTAGGGTTTTGGTGCAATATGCGATAGTTATATACCGATTCTAGGGCTTGGGTTCGAGACCGCGAGCCCGCTCCTTCCCACAGACCTAGTGAGCTTGCAAAAGTTGCTTTGTGATGCTGCCTGCAACATGCAACCAGAAAGTACATCTCTTAAAGCGTGCACGCCTCATAGCGCACGCTGGCAGCCTTTGGACTGATGCATTCCACACACCGCCTGAAGTAGTTGGGGCAGGTATTCAATTTTAGAGCTCAGGGCCTAGGGCATCTAGAGAATTGGGGTAGTTCTAGGATCATACATGTGAGCCATAGTCCGAACCCCTAGTATCCCCCTTATTAAGCCCTATTCCCCTATATAGCCCACCTTTAAGGACCATGTAGCTTGCATATGTTGTTCGAGTCCTTTCTTCATACATAATGGCCGCAAGCTGTGAGTGGACAGATCCTGGAGACTGCTGAGCCCGGGAACCTCGCCCAAGAGGTTAAACAAACACCCCATTAGCGAAATACCCCCCCCCCCCTAGTGTACATATGTATGTATGTATGTATGTATGTAGGTATGTATGTATGTATGTATGTATGTATACACAGTGTATGTGTCTATATGTACAGCGTCATTAATTCGTAAAGGTAGTTTCTGTAGAAAATCACCCCAACATTGCTTCAGTGTCAGGAGGAGGCCTCTTGTCTCTTCGCTCGCTTTCGCCAGGCAGGTTTAGGCTTCAGGGTTTAGACGGTGGGTGTGTGGTCAAAGAGTTTTCAGCAAGAAACAATCTGGAGGTTCGGGCAGGTGTGGGCCAAGACTTTCCAGCATAACTGCTTGAGGTTCAGTCGAAAGGCATGCCCAAGTTCACGATTTGGACTAATCTCAGTCAAATTGCCCAACAAGATGTCCTTCGTAAGCGCCACTTGCACGTTGAGCTAGGTGCCGCCAACACCTCAGATGATCCTCGGCTTGACGCAAATGCGAAGTGCTTTCAACAGATTGCAAGTCCCAAACGTCCCAGCCTACATGCAGAGATCGGCATTGGGGTACCGGCTCAGGAAAGTCCCCGGGCCAGTGGAGGTGGTCCGAAGCGCTCCAACCACGACAACCTCCAAGCGTGCAGTTGCCTGCACGGTTAGCAGAGTGCGTCCCCGATGTCCGCTTTGCTCGAAGGAGGACCCATTCATCAGTTGCCATCTTGGTTTGCGCGGCCTTTGTCAGACAGTGTGGTTGCATTACAGGGTTGGTGTTTTCTTCTGGCATATCTGTGTCCAGTCATGAGTTTGCATGAGACAGAAAAACCGAATGCAAGATGCTCTGATAACGTGGCCTTGCTATTGCCAGGATGCCACGCTTCACTCAGAAGCTCGATGGCAAGTTAGCAGCCTGCAGTGCCTTGCAGTGCCTTGCAGCATGTGCTTTGAAAGCCGCAGCAAAGAGCACAAGTTGACCAAGCAACTGCAGGTGACCATTGCCTCACAGCATGAAGGATGGGGCCGCAAGTGGAATGTACCTTGCCGGAATTCAAGAGGTTCGGGGACTATTGCCTTGCAGCATCTCGGTGTTGAAAGCCACCACAACCTGAAGAAGTCACGTTTGCCAGAAGTTGTACTTGAGAATTAGGTCTTGACCAAGATGCCAGCGCGGCACAGCTCGACTTTTGATTTGTCCCGCAGCATACTAAGGAATGCGACTATACCTGCTTCACTTGCCGGCTGCCAGTGCTTCGCGATCTTCATGTGACTTTTGACGGTGCATAAGTTATGGTCCAGGATAGCCAAAGGCAGCTAGGCTGCGTGGTTTTACAACGCGTTCCATCTCTTGCATGCGTCATCATCTCTATCATCCAAGGAACTGCTGCAAGACCTGCAAGATCTTTTGGCACTTGGACTGTGCCGCAGTGCCCTGCTTCAATAGCCGTTGGATGTGTCCTGGCTGGCCAGATCAGTAAATCACTAGCTTTGTTTGGACAGGCGAAGCGACACTACACGGCTGCGCGCAAAGCTTCCGCGCTGAAGGCGAAGCAGGTGAAGGCAGGCACTGAACTTTAGACAAAAGATCTTGCGCCATGTAGCTTAGATTTTAATTCAGTGGCCTACTTCAGAAGACCCTCGCTGCAGACCGCAGCCAACAGTGGCTTGGCAATCCCTCAAAACGAACTTTGTTTTTTTGGTTTGAACTTCTGGCTGTAGCTCACAGGCTGGTCAACGGAGACCGGGGCCCTCGGCGCCTTTGCCTGTGCCAATGCCAGCTCCAGCAACTGCGCCGAAACCTTGCCAGGCTGAGGGTGGGACTGGAAATCCGTGAAGGCTGTGAGTTTTCCCCGGTGCAGTGCCGTGAAGTGAGGAGTTGAGACTTTCGGGTTGTGCCAGACCAATGCTGGCAGCCTGGTTCAGGTGAACCTTCCTCGAGCTTCAACTGTGCAGTCTTCAGCGCAATGTACTTCAGCCACTCCAGGCAATTGGGTGTGAGCTCTTGGGGTGGACCTGAATTGGGGACACGTTGCAGGGTGCAGCCACTTCTTCATCTTGCTTTCAATTGGGCGGAAGTGTAGCTGAGAGGTTGTTTCCCGATGAAATTGTGGTCTTTAGAGCCTGCTACAGGAAAGGCGTACGTATCACTTGAGGTGTGCGCACAGGACCTGAGCCTAAAGTTAGGAAAACCCAATCTGTCCAAATTCTGTTCTGGTTTTCCTGCTTGTGTCCACGGGCGGCTTGCATGCATTCACCTCAGTGTAGGTATTTGTCTTGCTTGCTTGTCAGTTTATGCGCCCCTGGTCCGAACGGTCAGCGTGCCTGGGACCAGTGTCGAGCCACGTGGATGGAATTAGCCGCTCAAGCATAAGCTCCTCAGAGGAGCACGCATGAACTAGCGCAGGGTTTGTAGAGAAGCTCAGCTGATGGGATTCTTACGATTCCTACCCAGCATTCGCTTCCAGCGTGCAACGCTGCTGGACAACTGAACATTACCTTTCTGTGACCCTAAACCCTAAACCACAAAAAGGCTGGGACATCAATCTCGGACATTGATTTGTGCTTCGAATTTGGGGGCTTTGCGCTCTGGAAGCGGCACTGTCACAGCCTTGCATTGTGTGGTAGTTTCCCAAAATTTCCCAAAATAAGGGGACCCTAATAGAGTTAGCAATGACCATTTCCATTTTCTAACCATGCCCACCCCCCTACGTCACCTGAAGACCCAAAACCATAACAACCTA